TTCAAAAACATCCAACCCTTTCGGCAGGGGCCCCTTCCATCTTGGGCCAAAACTTCACACACACCAGTGTTGTTGTGGGAAAAAAAAAAAAAAAAGCACACGACTATGTGGAGGAACAAAGTAATGAATGTTTGTTTTTGTGGTAATAATTTATGATAATTGCATGGTAATAATGTGGTTTTAAATGCTTAAATCGCCCGGAGCGTATGAACACCACTCGACACATAAGCAACGGTGTGAACGGAGCGGATATTCTGCTGCTGCAGCGTCTATGTGCTCAAGAAAAGAAATATGGATTCAGGTGTTTCTCATAGAGCCACTCCCCAAAAAAACATCCCATAGACGCAGCATGCAGGGAGTGTGATCCCGTGGGTATATTAAAGTTTACTACACCTTTGGACACGTCAAGATTAGCACCTTTGACACCCTGTCGGTGCCAACCTTGTGACACTTTTACCACAGTTCTACTCTGTTATCAATAACACACCATGGAATGCAAAGCTATCAAAATCTCCTTGGGGCAGAAGACAAAACGATGGTGGACTTTAGACCTGACATAGGTGAGACTTTGCTTAGAACTTCCTCCATTTTTATGTTGACCTGCTGCTCACCAGCGTGCTGATAACTCCTCATACCAAAGGCTCATTTATCCAAGAATCCGACCCCAATGTGTGCATTTGTGTCTTGGCTGTGTGATAATCAGTACAACATGACCTTTACATAAGAACGCCTGCATGCAAATGGAACACATGTTTCATCATTGCAAAAAAATGAGCGGCAAAGAGAAAAGCATGAGACTGTTTACTTCACCAATCAGACACATGTCACTGATGAGTGACTAAATGAGCTGTCACACACTCTGAAAAACAACACAACAGAATATTACAGCAGATCCTCTAATGTGGGTCCTGCATTCTGTTTAATAGATAGATGCATTTTTGCTCATGGTGTCTGGATCGTGGGTGGAGGAACTGGTTTTCCCTTTTTTTTTTTTTCTTGATGGGCTCCAATTCCTCAAACATGCTGCCTTTGAGGAAGGCATCGCTAACCAAAGAGGCTTAAGGCTCCTCTGAAGCAATTCCAAAGGATTTCCCCACTTGACAACAACAGCACAGTGTTTACGGCACTGCCAAAATACAAAACAAGCATGACCTCCAACATTTCTCCCCAGCCTCTACAATCCACACTTGTCACCAGACTGTCACACTGCAATGCTTTCAACTCAGGCTTGATCTATTGTTACCTAGAAGAAGAAAAAAAAAAAAGGAGCCTCAGATCAATGCAAAGGCTGATACCAACATTTGTTCCCCACTGAGAGCTCTGGCAAAGAAGCGTTACAATTCTCCTTTTTTTTGTCACAGTGAAACAAAAGTACAAAAACTGACTCACTTCAGGAAAACGTCAGTCACCGTGAACACCTTAAAAATATATATATAAATAAATAAATAAAAAAGTTTGTGCAAGGCTTCGAGGAAGTTCGTGAAGTCGGACACGAGCCTGATGAGAGTAGCCTCGTGCTGAAGCTGCGTTAAGGTGAAGCGTTGCAAAGTGCGCGCACACACACACACACACACACACACAAACACACACACAGAAAACACTTAAATAAGAATTTCGCAGGCATTTCCAAGCGGGCTGCCTCGCTATAAATAGCCGGTGGACGGAGCGGTACTCACCCGTGTGGTCAGACCGCAGTTATTCTTGTGGTGACAGTCCTGTTGCTCCAGACGGGAGCTCGTGCAGTAGTATTTCTGCTTCACGAGCCAGTCGTCGATGCCCTTCCTGGCCAAGCAGGCGTTCACCACGAAGCTGTCCCCTGAAAACACAAACCAGCACAAAACTACGTCTCATGCGCTCATGTTTTCCATCTTCAAATAAGACTCCGCAGGCTGGAAACTGCTCACTTTAACTATGTCCAACAAACACACACACACACACACACACACACAGCACCAACGAGAGGAAACAAATAAGTGCGCTTACCTTCGGGACTCTCCCTCGGTTTACAAATAGCGGCTTGAGAAACAAAACACAAGAAAGATGTGTTACTCGAAAGTATCACAGCAACTACGAGCTGTGATTTTTCTCTCTCTCTCTCTCTCTCAGGAATAAGAAGCCTTACCATGTTTCGAGTGCAGTTTACCCATTTCTATGCATCGAGTTGGAGTTGAAAAACCATCAGATGAATATAATCCAAAGATTTTATTTTCCGGCCGTGCTGGTGGTTTTGCCTTTTTTTTTTAAAAGAAAAAAAAAAGAGGTTGCGATATCCAGACAGAGGAGCGTCCGTGGAGACAGAGAGCAGACTGCGCTCAGTGCAGGACCGTACGACTGGGAGCCAAGCGAGGCTTTGATCCGGAGCGCAGCGACGTCAAGACGGACACAGACAGCAGACTTGTGCGTTTCCGGTTGTCGCCTTCAAAATAAAAGCACACAAATGCCGAAGCCTAAAATGAGAAGAATAACGACAGCGTTTACACCATGACAGACAAGACGTACCTTTGAAGCCAGACTATGTCAAGAGAGAGCAAACTTGATTTTGCCTTCCATTCAACTGGTCAGAATCGACTCTCCTGCAACCCATTTCTGATATATTTTATTATGAAAAGTAAAATGCTTCCAAATGCAAGTGACTTTTTCTGTCTGACTTGACGCAGCTCCTTTCAGCTTTCTTCACTGTAAATCAATTTAAGTTCATTCAGCTTTGAAATGCAAGTTCCCCCTGCTGCCCTGAAACACGTGAGTTAAGTGCACTTGAGGTGATTCATTGCTTAAAAGGAATCTTGTGAGCTGTGAAAGTGTGAAACTAGTCGTTCAAATAACTGAACTTCAGAAATCAAGTTCACGACTCTTAAGATATTATGTTGAATCAACTAGTAACATAAACAGCGGTTACAAAAAGAGTTGCTTTGCTTTTACAAAAGTTTAAAGACTTTCTTCTGCTTTTAAAAGTAAAAAACTTAAACCTGCAGACAACCTGTGAGGCTGCTTACAGGTCGGAAAAGTCTACAAGTGTAGGGACTGAATTCAATACTGGCCTTTGTGATGATTACAGTTGTTTGAAAAATAAAATAAAACACAACTAATTTATCATGTATTTAAGAAAATCAACAATATGTAACAATGCAGCCTGGGAAGTCTAGTCGTATGCCAGTTTTGTGTCTTATCAAACGTAATTTAGTGAGTAGAGTAAACTCTCAGCTGTTCATTCAGATCATTATTTTAAGTCAAATGCAACAAGTTATAAGAATGCTTGCTTTTAGGTTCTGAAGGGAACTAAAAAAAAACAAAAAAACATTTTAAGTCCAAATAAAAAAAATCAATAAAATCCATTGAGTTAACTTAAAAGTTAAGTTAATTCGACTAAATATCTTTATCATGTTTTACAGTGTTGTCCATCTTGAAAGATCAAGATTTAAACATCACCACAGAGTACAGAGCTTCTTTCCATCACTGTCGGCGGCTCCCGTTAATGGGATCTGAGGACCTCAATGGGTTTGTGTCAGCGTTAGGCAGGTTGGGGATCATCAACTGCCGTTTAGATGAAATCCCAATTCGAGCGGGAAAAAAATGAAAACACAAAAGAAAGTTACTCGAAAGTTGTGCATGACTCCCTCTGTGGTTAATTAAATGACCTACATCTGACGTCACCATCCATTAGATACAAGATCTTTTTCATGAGTGAACTAACACCAGCACAGAATAGAATGACTGTTTGGATCCCCTCTTGATCTATAACTACTTGTTCGCTTTAGTAATCAACCGTATCAGCAATTATCCTCTCACATGGGCTCCCTGGGGACAGAATCATATCATATGTGGCTCTGTGGTCAGTGTGTGTCTGTCTGTTTGGGGTTTCTGTCATGAGAATAAGGGATTTATTGGACTGAGGCAGCAGATGAAGGCAGGCTAAGATTCTTTTGATGTCTTCAGATTTATAAGACAGAAGCCACTTCATGCCAGACTGCCAGCATCTCAGTGTGACAGTAATATAACACACAGTAGGCATCATCTTCAGAGACAGCGCTGGTAAAGGTTCAAAAATTCTCTTAAAAGATGCCACGTCAATGCTCTAATCATTATCAATGTAAGATTAGACTAAACAAAAATCAGTTATGAGAATTTTGCATTACGCATTGCCACACTAAATCTGTAACTGATGGATGATCCCTGATTAGAAGCTTTGTTCTTTTTACCTAAAGTACAGAAAAAAAACACCCACTCCATCATATGATTTTAAAAAATTGAGTGTGTTTTTGTTAAAAAGAGAAAAAAAAAATCCACATATATTCTTCCTCAGATCAGTTAGCTCTCTGGAGGACCAAGCCAACAGTACATAATGTATTTCTTTGATTTTTTTTAAGACTGAACAACCCTACAACATACAGAAATAAGCATCACTATCACTATTCTACAATTCTGCAGCAACTGAAAGATTGTTTAGGTTTTGAATATAATAAGGTTTTAGCTTGCTCTTTGGAAACTGTTGTGTGCTTTCAAATCTGAAATAATCTGATCGGCTCCCTGAAAACAACTCCTGAAAAGAGGAGCCTCTGTGATTTGCTGTAATTCAGTTTCATCAATACATGTTTCACTATGCAATGCGCTTGGAAACATACACATAACACAATCAGATCAAAAAGGTTTTCTAAGAACTGTCAGCTGGTGCGGGTTAGTACCACACTGCACAAAAGGTAGAATTTCATGTGTTTTCAATCAAAGTGCAAACAAAAAAAGTGCCATGTTGTTCCAAAATGCTGGATGTCTAAATTTAGTCTTTGCTTGTCACTTCTGTGTCATGGTTTATTTTCCCTTTAAAGTCTAAAAACAGGAGGCGCTTTCAATTTTAGGACAAAATATTAAAACTAGATGTACTTAAAAGCAAAGACATGTTGAAGCACTGCTAATGACCCCTAAATTATTATTGGTTCCTACTGTTAGGAAGTCAGATTACAGGCCACGTTGACTGTGTCCATGCGCCTGCAGCGTACCAGCATGTTAAGCACATGCACACACTGGCAGGCTACAATATGTAGAACGAAAAGGCATAGAAGGTAAGCTGTTTTTATTTTGTGTTATTTCACATCTCTACCTTTAATCCTTTTATTTTCACCCCATTATCTTCAACTCAGGACTTTACAAGATTTCTGCAAGTCTTCCTCTATGGCTCCAGTTAAACAAAGGCACCAGTATTCTCACATTAGAGCATCCTAAACCCTTCACAGACTAAAGGCAGAATCCTTTTGTGTGTCGCATAACCTTTGTCTAGTCCCTCCTGTGGTACAGGCCAGTTCCTATGCTGTAGATATCTTTGGTATAACCCCTGAAGCAACTGAGGTGGGGAGTACAGTGTGGCCTCTGCATTGGGTTTCACTCACACACTGATATTTGTGTCATTATTTGTGTAGTTTATGTGTTGTGCTTTATAATGTTCAGCTATGCACATACTTATAGAACCAAAGTAACATCAAAGTAGCTTCTGTTTTGCCTTGTCTCATTTGCAGCCTTGCAATCACTGTGAGAGACGAGCAGTAATGAGCATGAGGTCTGAGAATAGACGCCTTTGTTAGATGCTGCTGAAGAACTGAAGTTTCCTTATAGTTGTCTATCTAACAGCAATTTCCACTCACACTGGAAACTTGCCGGAGAAAACACAAGCAGTCTGCCTTGACTGTTCTTGCAAAATGTGGAGCAACATGTCAGCTATATACAGCAGTTTGAGCATCCATAGAGTGCACAGCAGCGTGGCAGTTTAAGCTCATATAAATTCTGCAGTTAAGCAGCTAAAAGCTGCAGGTGACAAATATATTTGAGTTGGGATGATTTCTGGCAAAGTTAAGATCAAAAAAACGGAATCTGGCCCCAATTTTCATGAGGACGACTTCCACATCGTTAGGGATGAGGCTATACACTGGACACATGTCCCCGATGCAGTCCTCCGGTTGCATTTCTACTACACGGTGGTTTCCGCATCCGGACTCTATCATCACATGTTGTACCAAGAGGAATCAGGCTCCTCTTTGAACTAGTCTGCCACAGACACACAGATGAGCTTGTTATTATAGCAACTCGCCTGAATTTGCTGGGAAAGAAGGCCTGTCCCTCTGACACACTTCCTGTCCTTTGAAGAGGCCAACGGAGAGATGGCTTTGCGGCCCTATTTCCAAGCTTTGCCTTTGATGCCTGTGAGAGAGGAGGTGGCGGGGGTTTAAAGCCATCTCATAGACGTGAACCCCCAAACCTCCAATCAATCCCCATTATCATGGGATGCAGTTATTTTAGCCTGACACATCATCAAATCAGAGAATGAATGAAATAAATATTTGGCTTTTATTGAGGCAATAAATCAAATCCAGAGGAAATCTGCCTCTTGATTTCTGTTGTGTCTCTTCCTTTATGGTGAAAAAGCTTCATAGAACAAAGCTAAATTCTTTAGACACCTGCCTGATTGATGTCGGTATTTATTGGCCTGGGGGAGCGCCTACCTTGGTGGCCAGCTCTGGCTCATTCCACCATAAAACTGGGCATTCTCCCTGGAAACAGGCATAATGGGGGGCATTCAGACGGCCAGATTCAGGGAGATCTAATGGTTTGTCTGTGTTTATGTCCTTGTAACAATGTTAGGGGCCTGATGCCTGCAGAGCCCACCGGAGGGAATGCTGCCTGGTGGTGAAGAGGGGGATGTGAAGCATATAGAGGGAGAGAAGAGCAGCTGCTGGCCGCTTAAAGCTCAAACATGTGACTGTTGCCTTTATCTTGAGGAACAAAAGGGGCGTGGATGTTGTAAAGGGCAGAAGACAATCGTGACTGAAGTACAGTGTTGATTCCTGCAGCGGTGGTGACTCAGCCCATTGTGGCGGCCCAGCATGTGATGTGTCAGGCAAAGGGTCTGCAGGGAGGATAAGACACCCTGGCATGCGTTTGCCTTTCTGCATGCTGGAAGTGATGGAAATAACCAGGATTCAGAATACTCCTGGACACACTGGTTTATTTTGAGCTTTTATAGCATGTGGAGGAAAATTCGGTGTCAAATCGGATGTAACCATATACTGCTAATAACACCTTTGATGTAGTTATACAGACTAAGTGGCAGGTGGCAGCTCCTTCCTTTCGGAGCATTTGATGCACACCAAGAGCATAAACCCTGTCATTTTATATGGCAGGGCAAGAGGGGAGAGCGGTACAGCCAGAACAGGCACAAAAGATGTAGTTAAAAAACTTTACATTTTAAATTAACAAATATTGAACAATTTAGTGATATTATA